ATTTATAATCAAAAATCAGGGTTTTTCATATGTCCTAACCAATAGGCACAGTGTTAATGCTATGCAGATTACTGTACCTCAGGTTAAAGTTTTCATAAAACACACCAAGTTTGGTTTGAATACGGTCAACTTTGCAGCGATATCACTTTGCCTCATATCCACTTTGGTGAGCTCTTCATACATTTATGTGTCTTTCAAATTAATCAAAAACTATTTTACTGATCAACTTAAATTCCAATGTGTATTTGCTTTGTTGTTGCCTTCATGGTCTGAAGATGTTCTGAATAATTTAAATGTTTTTTTTTCACAAAGTCAATGCAAATTTGGGCACTTGGGTCTGCTAAAGTGTTCAATTAGAGACTCCAAAGACTGCCCTCGATTTGTAAACCAAATTTCATAACTTTCTAAAGTTGCTGCCATAGACTCAGGAGGAAGAGTATATGATAAGATTAAGATAACATACCTTCAGTGCTTAGCTCTTAATCATATGCACAATGACAAAACCTAATCCTACATCAAGCATTCATTGTTAAATTTATTTTAGAACTGTACCAACAATTACAGTGTAGCAAGGACTCATCAAAACAGTAAAAATGTGTCAGAAAAATCCCTCATTTCAAGCAAACTTCAGAGGGATCTTGCAAAATAATGTTCCCATATTGCTCAACTTCTGGGAGTTTTCCAAAGGGAAGTTCACATTTGAACTCTGTCATCTGCTTTTATTGACCCGATTAAAGACATTCTGATTTTAAATCTTAATTTACTGTATGAAATGCAAATGGACGATCAAGACGACTGAATGAAAAGAATAAAACAGACAGAGCAGAGTGGAAATTGAACTGACAGCCATGTAATGCTATTTTCAGATCTCAAGCTTGGCTTTTAATCTTCAGAGACCCAGGCCAAAAAAATGGACGTGCAACAGATTCATGAGACGAACATTGTGAAACTCCACAAACAATCGCTCTGTTTGATGGCTGAACCTGAAGAACGACCACCCTCTGCTCTGACCCCCCTCCAGTCCCTCAGAAAGCAGCCTTTGGAGGAGAAACAAAAAGAAACTTTAATGAAGGAAGGAAGGAATTCACAATCCATGGGAGATAAGCATCTTGCTTAAAGGAAGAAGCGATGAAAATTTCAATTTGAGAGAGGGTGACAGAATGAACAATTCTCTATATAGACCGATGAAATAGTCATATAAAAATCGAGAAAAGAAAAAAAAACACAAAAGACGACTCTGATCACAGCTGACGGTAGGTTCTGTAGAACGACACCGAAAGTGTAAAGATAAAAAAAGTGTGAGACACAGAGAAGGGGCCAAATCAGACATGCTCACTAACAAGGCTTGGGGTTTGAAGAGCTTCTGGATGTCTCAAAGGAGGAAGAGGAGAACGGGAGGCAAACTCACCCCCTCATGGTGCGACATCACAGGGTAGCACTTTTTTTTTTTACTTTTTTTTTTTTTTTACCCCTCACTACCTCCCCCCTCCAGGTCTGGAAGCAGAGATGCAGGAACCTGAATGTGGAGGGTAAGAGAGAGGAGGAGGTGTGCGTTTTTGAGATCTCAACCAGCAGGAGGTCTTCATTTAAACTCTCAACCTCTTCCCTTCACACTGCATTACCGCTCATATGGGTGAGGGAGATAATAAGACTCCGTAGTAATCCATAATCCGACTGAGACCTCAGCGAAAGTGGAGGAAGGTGCAAGCAGACCCAGGCAGAGAGGTGCCGCGGTCGTTTCTGAAAAATTATTGCAATCAAATTTAGGGTTTTGCAAACTCTTAGTGTTACTTACTAAGACTTTTACCTCTTTACTGTCACTAATGAGATGGAAGAGACTATCCTATTCTATTAGGGAATATGCTATTATGAGAATATCAGGTAAGATTAGAGGGTTTTTGTGCTTGTAGTTAGAGAATGATAAAGTTGAACAAGTAAAACAAATTATGTAAATCTAAATGTAAATGAATATGAATGGTGTTATGTTAAAGGGCACCTATTTTACCCCTTTTACAAGATTTAAGTGCCTTTGGTGTTTTCAGAATATGTCTGTTTCAACTCGAAATACCCATCAGATTATTTATTATAGCCTCCAGAATATGCACACTGTGGTGTCTTGACTACAGTGTAGCTGCTTTTGTAGCCTGTGGCTTTAAATGCAAATGAGCTGCCACATGCGTGTCTGCTTCTCACCATGCATTGCGTCAGATAAACAGCACAGTGACTAAGACAGACTCAGATGAAGCTGAAATACAGATCATTAGACAAAAATAGCAAGTTTATTATAGCAGTTTAAGCGAGTTTATTTCTTTTATTTGTGATGGAGTTTATTCAAGCCTTTCTGAAATGATGAGTCTCACACAAATACCAATTTCTGGATACACATACATTCAGTGGGCGGGGAAACTGCACTCCTATTACCTTGCGTGGGCCTAAAAATCACTGGTATTTGGTCCTATTTTGACATCTGGAATTTTTTTTAAAAAGAGACTTATTGGGTTTATATCACTCCAATATGACAGTGGACACACTATACAGACAGGCAGTTTTGTCCAAACAGCTTAGAAAAGTAGATTTTCATTATAGGTGCTCTTTAATGTAAAGTTGTTTATGTAGAGCTAATTTATTATTACTGTTCTTCTTTTAAGTGGCACAAATGACCCAAACAATTGGGTTACATTATTGGAATTTTTTTTAAACTTCTTACATTTATATTAAAAAAAAACATTACCAGTGTAAATAAATGGTAATTAAAAAAATTAAAAGTAAAAAAATTAATTATTAATAACTGTAATATATATAGCCAAAATACACCAAAATAATATATATCCTGGCCAAATTTGCTCACTGACATCTGTCCATCATGGCCTCCTAACCCTCCCCATATCATAACTGGCTTCGTCACTCTGTCTCCTCTCCACCAATCAGCTGGTGTGTGGTGTGCGGCCTGGCGCAATATAACTGCCGTCGCGTCATCCAAGTGAATCCTGCACACTGGTGGTGGATAAGGAGATTCCTCCCCTACAGTATGTGTGTAAAGCACTTTATGTGCCCAGACAAGCGCTATATAAATGTAAGGATTAATTAGGAAATTATTATTATTATTATTATTATTATTATTATTTATATCATTATATAGAGTCATGCCAATTATTCAATACTAAAATTTAAAATGTAGCCTATTATTTGTACCCCTGGCTATATTGAAATTATAAATATTGTATATGGATTAAGAAGATATACATGAAATTACAGATTTAACATTAAATCATAAAATTTGTATTTAAACTCTATTAAACTCTATAGAGACATAAATGTACTATTTCCAAATATTAATAACATATACTTTTATATATTATAATTACAAATAATATTCATTCATTCATTCATTCATTCATTTTCTTTTAGTCCCTTTATTAAGGCAGGGGTCGCAACAGCGGAATGAACCTCCAACTTATCCAGCATGTTTTACGCAGTGGATGCCCTTCCAACTCCAACTCATCTCTGGAAAACACCCATACACACTCATTCACTCACATAAACTATGGACAATTTGGCTTACCCAGTTCACCTATACCACAAGTCTTTGGACTTGTGGGAGAAACTGGAGGACCCGGAGGAAACCAATGTGAACACGGGAAAAACATACAAACTCCACACAGAAACGCCAACTCACCTAGCTGAGGCTCGAACCAGCAACCTTCTTGCTGTGAAGCAACAGTGCTTTTCACTGTGCCACCCTATTATAATTAGCATAATTATATATTGAAAATGATATGTAGTCATATTTATATCTTAAATTCTGCAGTTCATTTTAATCTATATTAAAATATATATAATTTAGATATTACTTTAAAATATATATCTATATATAATCCCTTAATATAAAAATAACCATTCTTTTTTTAACTAGGTCTAAAAATATTTATCTAAAAACAAATATCTGAATGCAAAAGTGTTCCAGTGGAAAAAGCTTTCTTCGATTTTTATTGCATTATTTATGAAGAATCAGAAATGGTTCTATGAATTTGCAGTGAAAATTGAAACCTTTATTTTTAAGTCTGTATTTTCTGCTGGTCAAGCGTATAGGAGAATTGCCAAAAATCAGTTCATGATTTATTTACAGCACATGAAGTGCAGACTAACATCCACACACACACACACACACACACACACACACACACACACACACACACACACACACACACACACACACACACACACACACACACACACACACACACACACACACACACACACACACACACACAAAATAAATCCAAATGTACTTTCTGCATCACACACACTTGTTATTCCAGCGTGGGTAATGTACCGTCATACAGTAAATGTGAGCTGTGCATTTAGAGATTAACACACACGCACACACACACTGGAGCCCTGAGCTGCCCACTATTTGTGCCCCGTGTGTTTGTAAGCCAGAACCCTGTAACTTATTCATGATTTGGGGGATTTTCTGGGGCAAATACAGTCCAAAGCCCTTGAACAGACATTTTTTTAAAAGCTGGAATAGAAACTGCCTGTTCTTAACATGAGATATGAAGATGGGGGAAAATGACATTTGAAGACAAAGTGAAGAGTGAGTTCATGAATTTGCATAAGAAGACAACGAGGCACAAATCAAACAATATGAAGAAAAGAAAGAAAGGGAGAGAGAGGCAGAGAGATAGTTTAGATGATAGGAGGGGGTTTCGAAACAGATAAAGAGAGAAAGAATGATAGAGAGAGCACGAGGGAGGGAGGAATTTCCCTCAGGGACGATGTGTTTGTGCGCTCTCTTTCTCACTCTCTCTCTCGCTCTGTTGTTCATTCACTCATACGCACACACTCCGAGCACACGCACTTGACAGACACACACGCAGCATGCAGACACTCTTTCTAATTCATTCACCTCCCTTTCTCTCTTTCACACACTCACTCGCAGCTTCTTCTTACAACCTTGAGATTCTCTGCTGGAGAGTCTAGAGAAGAATCTGCGCCAGCTCAACTTCAAACCGCAGCTACGAGACAGAGAAGGAAAGAGAACAGAACAAAACAAAACAGAGGCTGGAAATGCACCGAGGGGCTACAGAAAGATGGAATAGAGAAGAATGAAAGTCCCTGAAAACATCAGAACGAAGCGTTCAGGCACACTTCCAGAGAGCAGCTGACTGGAGGAGACGAAGCTCAGGTAAGCTCTATGTCCCGCTCTGTGACTGCTGTCCTTCTATGTGTTTGGTTACAAAACGAGAACTTAACTGTGAACTGTTTTAAGACAGAATTCAGAATGAGTGGCAAATGTGAGTTATAAATGTCAATTTTAGTCAAACAATAAAGTCTCCGAACTGGGTCCTCACTATATAAAGAGCTGTTGTAGAATCCTCTGAGAATCCTTCAGGGAAAAGTTGTTAAAACAAGCATTTTTTCATAGCGTGCAGAATATTTAAATAATATCGAATCTCTTTTGTGCACTGGAACATTTTCATGGACGCTTCCAAGGTTTTAAGACTTAATGGAAGCCATAGATCCCCAGTTTAATTCACTTTAGTTTAAATAACAAAAACACCATTTAATACTGGCTTATTACCTATATTAATATATTAACTGTTTATTAGCACTTATTTAGATCCTTTTTTACACCCCTAATCCCTCCCCAAACCCATTGACTTACTAACTAAGCAGCTAATTAGCAGTTTATTGAGCTAAAACTTTTATATAATGGTTTGTTATAAAGTGAATTGTACATAAAAATACAGAACAAAATACAGAAACTGCCTTCTTATATACCTGAAAGATAAACAGATGTGTGCTATTCTTCCTAAAAAGCAGAACATTAACTAACATTTGATTATATTCTTTTCAATTTAAGTTTGCTTCAAGATATCATTAGATGGTGTTTTTTTCACTGATAATTTGGATAATTACACACCTGTGTGTATTTAGTCTCTCAAGTAAATGTGTGTGAAATTACTTTGCTAAATCACCTAGTCTTAAAATATAAACATTTCCAAAAGAGTGTTGTTTGCATGCCATAAAAGAACCATTTTGGCTCCCAAAAGAACACTTCACCTAACAGTTCTTTTAAGAGCCATGTTTTCTTTGTGCAAAGAACATTTTAATTATCAAAAGTATTCTTTAATACTATAAGCTTTTTGTAGAATGGAAAGGTACTGCAGATGTGAAAGTATTTTTCTAGGAACCATCAATGACAAAAAGATACATTTAGTTTTAAGAGTGTGATAAATAGATGTCATACAATATTTGTGCCACTAAACTGAACTGAACTTAAACTTAAGTTAACTTAAACTTAACTCAAACTCTAAAACTGAACTACACTATTTCAATTTACTATGATCTTTTATGTGAAGCTGTTTTGACACAATCTACATCGTAAAAGCGCTATACAAATAAATTTGAATTGAATTGAATTGAATTGATTCATTTTTCGGGTAGGTTCTTTAATTTCAGAAAAATGTTTTCCATATAATGTTTCTTTAACCACTGCAACAGGAACTGGTATTTTAATGACTCAGTAGTGCTTTTTCAATCTTTAAGATCAACCTTTAATTCTTTGACATTTTATTTATTGACTTTGCTATATTTATAATTATTGTATTATTATTATTGCATTATTATTTGACATTATATAGCGCACTCCCCATAATTGCTAATTTTTGAGTTTTATTACTTCAGATAAGAACCAAAGTCCTCTCTTTTTATTTTCATTTGATTTAATCAGGAAAGTCAAACAACAAACACTGTTTAGATACTCTTTGATGTAGCGTAAAAGATGCCTCAGTTTATTTTTCCCTCTTTACTACTAGTTATAAAACAAAAAAAAGATGAATGAACATCCCACATCTCATGTAATCACTCAATTTGGGTTTCCACTGTGGAAGAATTCTAATAAAATAGCTTGTAAACTACATCTCACACAGATGTTATATTTACCTCAGACAAGATATTTTGTATTTAAAAAAGTTACTCTCAAAAATTTATTTGTCAGTTTTTTTTCAGATTACTTAAAATCAATCTAAATCTGCTAAAATTGAAAACTATTAGATTGAATCAGTTAAAAAAATGGTATTGTTATATCTAGCTGTAGAAAAAAAGCCAGATTCAATTAGTTACATTCTATGGGATTGGTTTACTTCATATTTGAGTGCAAATTTGATGAAGCTCCATACACTCAATCGATGAATTAGCAAGAAGCATTTAAAACACATTGGATTTACTGATATTATTACAGGAGAAATTATTCTTATTTGTTTCATATATGTTAATTTCAATAACTAACAAACATCAGTAACATAAAGTTTATTAGTTCAATTATGTTAAAAGTATGCAATTCAAATGAATAGAAATTTATATGCAATCAGAATATCTAAATCTTATTGGTTCGGCATAAATATTTCTTGAGTGTAAAGTTAGGGATAGGGTTATGTTAAATTCTTTAAACAGTTTTACAATTCGAATGAACAGTGCTGTTTATTCCGCTCTAGTGACCCCTCATAAATAAGGAACAAAGCCGAATGAATGAATATATATGTGTATACGTATATATATATATATATGTGTGTGTGTGTGTGTGTGAGGGGTCACCAGAGCGAAATGAACAGCCAACAATTCTGGCATTTGTTTCACGCAGCAACCCAGTACAGGGAAACCTCCATACATTTTCACATACACAGATACATACAGCCAATTTTAGTTTTACACAATTCACATACAGTATAATGCATGTCTCTGGACTGTGGGGAAAACCAGAGCATAGATATTGTGAGAACATGCAAACTCCACTCATAAATGATAGCTGGACCAGCCAGGATTTTAACCTTCTTTCTGCGAGGCAAAAGTGCTAACCACTGGGCCACTGTGCCACCCATATATATATATATATATATATATATATATATATATATATATATATATATATATATATGATTTTTTTTTGTTGAAGTCATAAAAGAATTAGTGATCAAATCAATGTAATAGTTTTTACTCTCTTGCTAATTGTAGCTTGCAAGTAGTATTAGCTGAGATAGATTCTTTAAAAGAGAAATTGTAATAGGAGTTACATTTTAAAAATTTGTTCAGTAAACCCTATTTTTCTTTTTAAAAAGGGACAGAACAAAAGATTGAATAAATAAAAGCAATTTAATTACATTTTTTTCCCTTGCTGTACTGAAAATGTAGCGAACCATGACTTCAAATCTGAGGTCCGATCAATTTTGTGTATATCATTCTCACTACCACTGTAGATATGAATACAAAACCTGCACTCAATGCAGTGACAAAGTCATTTACATTTAGTGTTTGTGTATCTGAGTCAGTAGTTTCTGGAAAATTGTGAGGTCATGGGAGTGACAGAAGGTTCATGGTTGAATGATTGAACAGGGCTAATATGCTGTGTACTTTACACATGATGCTAAAATGTGTATCAAATTGCACCAAATGCAGCATATGGGGCTTCACACTCCACATAATCCAAATTCAGAACTCACGTATATTAAAAAAGGGGACCAACTCTCTCTTTACTAAGGATGAAATTAATTTTACCATACTACAGTTTTTAAAATAGAAGTCCAAAAATGCATAGTCCACCCCTTATCATAATTTAGCGGTACAACTGATGTTGAAACATTAGGTCAAACCCTAAAAACTGATTGCTTTTAAATGATGTTGTTCAAGGACTGACAAGGATGTCGATCCAGAAACATGTCCTACATGGCAAAATCACAGTAAGCTGCTTTCCTTTACGCAAACATATTTGATTAAGATGTTCAGTGCAAGATGTTGACAAAGGAATGAGAAAAGAGCAGATGGATCTAGATATGTTCAGCTAGTCTCCTGACGCTGACTATGAGATTAGATGAATCTCTGTCACCTCTGAGCAAGCAGGACTTCATGGGGGCATAAAATGTTGGAGCATTAGTGATAGAGGAAGACGTGAATAATAGATATCATATTTTATGAGCGCAGAACCGCTCTACTAAGTGCAATGAACCATACATAAAGAAAGAGAAAGAGATGAGAGGGAGAGAGTCGCCTATATATGTCTATCCAAAAGTTTTCAGTTAAGAACAAGATCAAACAGGTTCACTTCTTAGAATTACATTCTCTGACTCTACATGAACGATCTGCTTCATCCAAACATGCACATGCATCTACAATATGAAATATTAATATACATTGTTATGAAAGTTTGATTTTTAGTTAGATTTTGTTTGTATAGCGCTTTTCATAATAACTATTGTTTCAAAAAAATGTAGTTATCACATTATGATCTAATCATAGTATGTGAAGGTGTGAGTATAGGGTAGACAATATAGCTGTCAATACAGGTATACAATATAATATATTTTTTCAACAAAGTCATATCTATTCTATGTCTTTGTAGCACTGTGGTTTAGTGTGTTTTAAAAATGTGACTGGCTCATAGAGAATATTAAAGTGCATCCAGTAAAGTGTATAAATCCATTATTTAGAGTTTACTAACTAGTAAGTTTAAAATCTAAAGCATTTCGAATTCAACACTTATTTAAACTTATAAAATACATGGTAAAAAAAGCTTTCATTTATCCAATTTAAATCGTTAGGGTAATGTTTCTAAATTTTATTACTTGACCCAATAAAAAACAATTTATTTGCCTTAATCAATATTATCTCCATGAGAACAATTTCATATAACCTTGAACGGAGCGTATTTCTCTTGTTAAAGAAAATCAATTAATTTATATTCTCTTTTTGTTCTAAACAAGAAGTTATAGCTTTAATCAAAACAACAATTCCCATCAAATGTTTTTTCATCCAATAAAAAAAAATAGGGTAATGGTTTCACATCCAAATTTAATCACTTGAGCCAATGAAAAATAAATTATTTGCCTTTATCTATATTTTTTATAGTCCATGAAAGCACAAAGCATATTGAGCTTCAGTTTAATATGTACTGGTCTGTGTCAGTAAGCGTACAATTTTACATTGGTCAAAACAAATATTACTTAGTTTGAGCTTAAATAAAACATTTATATTGAACTGTGTTTTGAACTTGAAATATTTACTTTATACTTCGCGTACAAGCAGGTGCAACCATTCAATTTTTTGGTGATCTGATTTTCTTTTTATTATATTATTATTCTATTTTGTCTGTATAGTCATGCAAACACTTGTTTGTAGAGCAAGTATTTTGAC